CAAATGCGCTCAAGTTATATTCAAGTAATTTTTAAAGGTAACGTCCCTCGTAGAAAAGATTTCTAAACATAAGTCTATCGCGATAGTTTTCAACACCTTATAAAAACACCACACCTCGTGTTATAAATGCTTTTTGCGATGTTTTAAAGTAAAAGTAATATTTGTTTCAAATCTGATTAATTAAACTTTAAATCTGCTAATCATCTTCAAATAAAATTTCCGAAAATTATATTTCATTTTTTGAAGTAAAATGAATTAAGTTGTGCTAAAATCAACACTTTGTTGCGATTTAAAAAATTCCAATCAATTTAAATTCATTTTGAAATATATTACCATATCTATCTATCTATCTATCTATCTATCTATGTTCGTATCTCTCTTTGTACGTATCTATTTTAGTCTGTTTCTATCTATGTTCGTAACTATCTTTGCCTGCTTCTATCTATCTATCTATCTATCTATCTATCTATCTATCTTAGTCTGCTCGTATCTGTCTTGGTCTGCTCATATCTATCTATCTATCTATCTATCTATCTATCTATCTATCTATGTTTATTCGTATCTATCTGCTTCTCTCTCTCTCTCTCTCTCTATCTATCTATTTATCGTTGTTCGTATCTGTCTTTGCTCGTATCTATCTTAAGCTGCTTCTATCTATCTATCTATCTATCTATCTATCTATCTATCTATCTATCTATTCATTCTTTTCATTATCTATGTATTCATCTATCTCAGTCTGTTCATTCTCTCTCTCTCTGTATATATATATATATATATCAGTCTGTTCATTATCTATCTATCTATCTATCTATCTATCTATCTATCTATCTATCTTCACACGTCTGCTTCTTTCTTTCTTTTTGAATTACTGAATGAAGTATTGTCAGTCTGTCTACCTACAATATTTTTTCTTCCTTTTTCTTTTGTTTCTTTTTTTCTTTCCTTCTTTTTATTAAAGTAATGTCTGTATATCAGTCTGTCTGGGCTTTCATTTCTTTCTTTCTTTTCGTAATTGCCGTCGAAATATCTATCTATCTATCTATCTATCTATCTATCTATCTATCTATCTGTCTAGTTCATATTTTTTTAAGCTGGTCATAAATGCATTTGAAAAGGGACAACGTAGATATCTATTTGAACTCTTAGGAAAACTTGATTTTTGAAAAGGGGAAAAATATTAGAATAATCCGTAATATACAGTGAAAGCAAACGGCCTGCAATGAATTAAGAAAAAGTCAATAGAAAAAAAGCGTAAGACAAGGATGCGTCTTCTCGCCGGATTTATTTAACCTGTACAGCGAGGCACTCTTAAGCGAAGTAGAAATCCTCCCAGAATTTATTAGTGGTGGGCACAATTTTAACAAACCTATAAGATGACACGCGTGTTGGTGACAGGCAGAAAAGAAACCTGCCGGAATTCCTAATCATGGTAGTAAAATAAAACGGGAAGAAAGGACTTTTTGGATGAAAACATAATGCATGCTTGTCTTGCTGAGAAATAGTCTAAGACGCGAGCTACGAATTGGATAGTACAGAGATTTGAATACCCACGTAGTTTTTAAACAGAGTACGGAAAATGTAAGAACGAAATCCCAAGTCGCATTCCAAAAGCTAAGCAAAGTATTAAAAAACAGGAAAAATTTCGTTAGAAACACATCGCAATGAGCTGAACTGTTATATAACTCCAATTATCCGCCATAGCAGTGAATGCTGGGCCTTAAAGATGAGGAAGTGAGTTGAGGGAAATGTAATCTTGTTCTACAGAAGGATGCTGAGAATACTATGGACAAAGCATGTTACCGGCATGGAAGATTTAAGGAAAAGGAAAACGCAAAGGACAAATCAAAGAAAGAAAGAAAGAAATCAAAAAAGAAAGAAATCAAAGAAAGAAATCAAAGAAAGAAAAAAGAAAGAAAGAAAGAAAGAAAGAATTCAAAAAAGAAAGAAAGAAATCAAAGAAAGAAAGAAGAAAGAAATCAAAAAAGAAAGAAAGAAGAAAGAAAGAAAGAAAGAAAAATCAAAAATAATTGAAATTCCTAGGATACATAATGAGGAAAGGGTGCTTAGAGAATTTGTCACTCACAGGATATATGGTTGACATTGCCTTTTTGTTTCTTTGTTTGGTATGCATTGCCTTTCCTTCGACTCTTCCTTCTTTTTCCCTCTTTCTCTTTCTTTCTTTCTTTCTTTTCTTTCTTTCTTTCTTATGCATTGCCTTTCTTTTAACCTTTCTTCCTTTCTCTCTCTCTCTTTTCCACGTTTCGTTTAATATTCTGATGATTTTTCTAATTTTTCATTTTCGTTTTCTTTCTTTTTCTTTTTTCTTTTTTGTTTCATTGTCTTTCCTTCAATCTTTGTTTGTTTTTTTACCCTCTTTTTTAAATGTTTCGCTGTTATCTCTCGGTAGCCCTGACTTTTCTTCATTGTCATTTTTCTTTCTTTCTTTCTTTCTTTCTTTCTTTCTTTCTTTCTTTCTTTCTTTCATGTGAATTTCCTTTCTTTAAAACTTAATTTATTTTTCCCTCACGTTTTTCCATTTCCCGTTTTTATTATTGCTTCTCAGTATTACGGACTTTTTTCATTTTCGTTTTCTTTCTTTCTTTCTTTCTTTCTTTCTTTCTTTCTTATGCATTGCCCTTTCTTTCAATCTTCCTTTCTTTTTCTCTCTTTTTCCGTGTTCCTTTCTTTATTCTCATAAATCTCTCGACCGCTCTGACTTTCCTTCATTTACTTTCTTTCTTTCTTCTATCTTTCTTTCTTTTTTTGATTTCTTTCTTCTTTCTTTCTTTCTTTGATTTCTTTGATTTCTTTCTTTTTTGATTTCTTTTTTTATTTCTTTGATTTCTTTCTTTCTTTCTTTCTTTTTTTATTTCTTTCTTCTTCTTTCTTTCTTTGATTTCTTTCTTTCTTTTTTTGATTTCTTTCTTTCTTTCTTTCTTTGATTTCTTTCTTTCCTTCTTTTTTTGATTTCTTTCTTTCTTAGATTTCTTTCTTCTTTTTTTGTTTTTTTGATTTATTTCTTTCTTTATTTCTTTGATTTCTTTCTTTCTTTTTTGAATTCTTTCTTTCTTTCTTTGATTTCTTTGATTTCTTTCTTTTTTGATTTATTTCTTTCTTTCTTTGACTTCTTTCTTTTTTTTATTTCTTTCTTCTTTCTTTCTTTCTTTGATTTCTTTCTTTTTTTCTTTGATTTTTTTCTTTGATTTCTTTCTTTTTTGATTTTTTCCTTGATTTCTTTCTTTCTTTCTTTCTCTCTTTCTTTCTTTCTTTCTTTCTTTCTTTCTTTGATTTCTTTGATTTCTTTCTTCTTTCTTTCTTTGATTTCTTTCTTTCTTTCTTTTTTTTTTCTTTCTTCTTTCTTTCTTTCTTTCTTTCTTTCTTTTTTTTTCTTTGATTTCTCTCTTTGATTTCTTTCTTTTTTTCTTTGATTTCTTTCCTTCTTTTTTTGATTTTTTTTTTCTTTCTTTCTTTCTTTCTTTCTTTCTTTCTTTCTTTGATTTCTTAACATCCCCATCATAAAGAAAATGCAGAAACCTACACGCACCTTTGCGTGGAACGGCACACATGCAAACCTCAATTTGAAACGTAAAATAATTAAAAAGCCAAGATATTTTCCCGCCTGTGCGTGATGAGAAAGAGAATGAAGTAGGGAGAGAGAGAGATAGACATAGAGTGAGAGAGAGGGAGAAATAGATAGAATGAATGATAGCTACAGAGAGAGTGAGAGAAAGAGATAGAGTGGGTGGAAGATCTAGAATAGAGAATTCTATAACGAAAACAAATGACAAATCGAAGAACTGGCTAACAAAAGGACTGGTGTTCAGCCACGCGGAAAAGCGACATTTCGCCGACTCCAGGGCGAATATCACGCCTCCTTTGACAACCATCCACACGCGCAAGGGAACAGACATCACCGCAAAAATATCACGAGCTTCTTCGGGGTTCTCTTTCCTATCATGGCCGACACCATTTATTTCTTTCTATGTGCCGTGTCCTTTCAGGACGTAGGTGATCATAGCTCTCCACCTCCCTCTATCTCCTTGCAGCTTTCAACAACTTCCTTCCCTCTGCCTTCTCCCCCAGATCACGTTCTGTCATCCACTTGCTTAAGGCCGTGAGGTATGTCATGCGTTGTTTTCTCTTGTCTCTCTTTCCCTCTATTCGACACGTGAGTACCAGATTCTCCAGACCCTCCTTCCTCATTATGTGTCCCGGGAACTTCAGTTGCTTCTTCCTGATATTAACTATAAGCCTCCTCCTTGTTTGCAAACTCTCTGAGATCTTGTCGTTGCTTACACGCTCGGTTCATGTTATCCTCAGCATCCTTCTGTAGAACAACATCTCTGTCGATTGGAGTCTCTTCTTCATCTTTGAGGAAATAGTCCAAGATTCGCTGCCATAAAGGACAGACGTCACGTAACAGCTCAGTATTTCTTTCTTTCTTTCTTTCTAAATTCTAGTATATATATATATATATATATATATATATATATATATATATAGATAGATAGATAGATAGATAGATAGATAGATAGATCACTATAATACTTTCCTCATAGATAATAAAAAAGCAGCATTAGAAAATTTGACACTCACGGAATATATTGGGTAAAAGCGGGGTACGTCGGTGTGGTGTAATGGCTAGAAAGCTTGTCTTGCTAGAACAACTACGACTGAGTTTGATCCTCAGTGGGTACCCCATCTTTCCGCCTTGTGCCATATCTAAGCTACGTTTAGAAAATCGCTATATTGGGTCTGAGGAAAACGCCGAGTAACCTACCTAACGAGCTTGTGTAAATGCATTACAGAAAATGGAGTGGGAAGATTAGTAAAAATACAAACATTGTGAAGAGGCCTAAAGGATGGGGAATTGTGGAGAGTCATGACGGCCCAGATCTTGAAGGAACACAGCGCATAGGAGAAGCTCACTGTACATGTGCACCGAGCATAGCGTTTATCGGAAACAGAAGCCCTTGGGAATCTGCCTCTCACCACCCAAGCTATTGGGATAAATAATATAAAAAGACTGCCTTCTTTAGCCTTAGTTGGCACCCAGTCTAGTAGAAGGACAACGAAGAATTCAAAACTGGTTAAGCGTAGGGCTAATAACTCGAATCCCTAATATTCACGGGATTCTGAAATCCCATCAGTCCCAAATATGGGGTTCAGTCTGTGGGCCTATATTTCACGGTGAGCCTACAGGTTCAACCGACCGATACATTGAAACACTTGACTGATTATACGTTCCAAGCCGTCATTGGTTATCGATGGTTACAACAAAAAAAAAGTATTACCTTTACCTTTTATACATTAAAACATAAAAACCCACAAGAAAAGAATTTCTGTAAGAAATACACACACACATATATATAGCCACCTGCTTTCATGCAAAGCTCTTCAGTTAAATGAATTGGAGCACTCCGGCTGATTGGCATTTGTTTACATTTGTAAAAACAATACACTAGATTTAGCTGTTTCTCTCTGTCGAATGAAGATAGCCCAGTGGTAGAAACTCTGACTGACACCAAATCTGCTGGCTAGAGGCATTCAGATGTCTAGACGGATTGAGGAGCTGCGAAACAGTACTGTAGGAAATATATATATATATATATATATATCTTTTAAGGTAATGAAATAAAACCACAGATTAAAAAAAAATACACACACAAATACAAACTTTTCAATGTTTCTATTCAACTATTTCTTCAACATTATTTACATTATTCGGACTATTGTCCTCATCTTTGTCGCCATATTTATTACAACGTTTCGGCCTTTCAGTATCTGTCTATATTTCTGAGATGAGGTATTATGTACATTATTTACATTATTCGGACTATTGTCCTCATCTTTGTCGCCATATTTATTACAACGTTTCGGCCCTTCAGTATCTGTCTATATTTCTGAGATGAGGTATTATGTACACTATTTACATTATTCGGACTAGTGTCCTCATCTTTGTCGCTATATTTATCACAACGTTTCTTCAACTTATTTCGTGTGAAACTTGTGCTTGGTGTCTTTTCGTGATTTCTTCAATGTTTGGTCGAATCTGTGATAAGCAGACCCCTAATTTCCTTTCAGATGAGCGCGATCTTTCTCGCTTCTTATTTTTGATGTTATTTAGGTTTGAGAAGCCTAATTCACATCAATAAGAAATAGAAAATTGCAATAAAACTGATAAAGCCTTTTTAGCTAATGTGAGATATAAAGTTTAATACTTATTCATTTATTCAAATACTAATGCTGTACCTGTCTATATCTCTGAGATGATGTATTATGATTAATGATATGTCCCGGAAAGGGATATATTTGAACGAAGTAGCTAAGTGGTTTTGGCTACCTTAACCAAGTAGAATACGGTAGCAGTAATCGATTGGTACGCGCAGGTAAGAAGTGTAGATCAATGGCGTAGTCCAATGGGCGTCGTTATAGACTTAGCTCTCAGACTAAGGCTTTCTCCTGACTCTCCTACATGTCCGTCGGTATTTATGACGGACACCAGCCAATCATATTCCAATGAGGGGAAACGCAGGTGTAAGCATATTCCATTATATCAATTACTTATATTATTTATATTATTCGGACTGTTATCCTCATCAGGATAATTTATATGACAAGTACTTGTGTTGATAGCCATGACTTTTAAAAAGAGATGCAAGTGTTTATATCAGTGTTTCATAACACTTTTAAGCAACAGCACACATAGGAGCAAATGAAAATATCACAGCGCACTTTAGCAAAATCTTTAAAGAGCATACATTTAAATACTATGAAATAATACCATAGATTTTTAAAAAATACACACACAAATATGAACTTACTTTATTTCAACGTTTCTATTCAACTATTTCTTCAACTTATTTATTATGAAACTTGTGCTTGGTGTCTTTTCGTGATTTCTTCAATGTTTGGCCGAAATTGTGATAACCAGACACTCCTCTCCTCTTCAGTCGAGCTTAGTTTTTCTCGCTTCTTATTTTTGATGTTATTTAGGGTTGGGAAGCCTAATTCACATCAATAAGAAGTAGAAAATTGCAATAAAACTGATAAAGCCTTTTTAGCTAATGTGGGACACTCCTTTTGTATTTCAATCGAAAATGTATCAGTGGGTGCTGTCGAATGTTTTATTTTGAGTCGCCGATCAATAGAGACGGTGGCCAATTCTTCTTCATCTTCGCATAACTGAAATTCAATATTAGAAGAATCATTTATGAAGGGATTTCGAATCCAATCACACTTTCGCGGCACGCCTAAGAGGATCGTGCGGCACATTAGCATGGCACGGCACAGCGGTTGAGAATCACTGCCATAGGTCATCATTAATAATAATGTCCAGTTAGGAAGGGTCCCGAATATCTTACACTATGTACTTTTTCTGAATTTATATTTTTCAAGTTATAGAATATTTTATGCTGATATTTTCTGTAATTTAGCTCTAATGAACCCCCTTCCAGTATTCTCATATTAATTATAATATATTAGTCAAATGGAGGCGATATGGTGACAGGTTTTGATAAAAGCAACATACAACCTTGCTGGTGGGGTCTAATTAGAAATACCATCAGGTCGGGTTACTCACCCACTCCGCTGAGACAGTCTCCGATTCCCAAGAATCTAGATGTGACTCCCAAATCTCATTGGCTGCTTCAGCCTTCAAACAATTGAAGATAGTACGGTGATATCTTCAGGGTATTGGTGATCATGGCTCTCCACAGGTTCCTTTTCTTTATTATCTGTGAATTGCCATTACCTCTTGTAGAAGATAGTACGGTGAAATCTTCAGGGTATTGGTGATCATGGCTCTCCACAGGTTCCTTCTCTTTATTATCTGTGAATTGCAATTACTTCTTGGGAAAGATAGTGGATCTCTTCAGGATATTGGTGATCATGGCTCTCCACAGATTCTATTTCTTTATTATCTGTAGAATTTCCATTACTTCATGGAAAGATAGTAGAGTGATCTCTTCAGGGTATTGGTGATCATGGCTCTCCACAGGTTCCTTCTCTTTATTATCTGTGAATTGCAATTACTTCTTGGGAAAGATAGTGGATCTCTTCAGGATATTGGTGATCGTGGCTCTCCACAGATTCTATTTCTTTATTATCTGTGAATTTCCATTACTTCATGGAAAAGATAGTAGAGTGATCTCTTCAGGGTATTGGTGATCATGGCTCTCCACAGGTTCCTTCTCTTTATTATCTGTGAATTGCAATTACTTCTTGGGAAAGATAGTGGATCTCTTCAGGATATTGGTGATCATGGCTCTCCACAGATTCTATTTCTTTATTATCTGTGAATTTCCATTACTTCATGGAAAAGATAGTAGAGTGATCTCTTCAGGGTATTGGTGATCATGGCTCTCCAGGTTCCTTCTCTTTATTATCTGTGAATTAAAATTACTTCTTGGGAAAGATAGTGGATCTCCAGGATTCTCTTTATTATCTGTGAATTGCAATTATTATCTTCTTGGGAAAGATAGTGGATCTCTTCAGGATATTGGTGATCGTGGCTCTCCACAGATTCTATTTCTTTATTATCTGTGAATTTCCATTACTTCATGGAAAAAGATAGTAGAGATCTCTTCAGGGTATTGGTGATCATGGCTCTCCACAGGTTCCTTCTCTTTATTATCTGTGAATTGCAATTACTTCTTGGGAAAGATAGTGGATCTCTTCAGGATATTGGTGATCATGGCTCTCCACAGATTCTATTTCTTTATTATCTGTGAATTTCCATTACTTCATGGAAAAGATAGTAGAGTGATCTCTTCAGGGTATTGGTGATCATGGCTCTCCACAGGTTCCTTCTCTTTATTATCTGTGAATTGCAATTACTTCTTGGGAAAGATAGTGGATCTCTTCAGGATATTGGTGATCATGGCTCTCCACAGATTCTATTTCTTTATTATCTGTGAATTTCCATTACTTCATGGAAAAGATAGTAGAGTGATCTCTTCAGGGTATTGGTGATCATGGCTCTCCACAGGTTCCTTCTCTTTATTATCTGTGAATTGCAATTACTTCTTGGGAAAGATAGTGGATCTCTTCAGGATATTGGTGATCATGGCTCTCCACAGATTCTATTTCTTTATTATCTGTGAATTTCCATTACTTCTTGTAAAAGATAGTAGAGTGATCTCTTCAGGGTATTGGTGATCATGGCTCTCCACACGTTCCTTTTGTTTATTATCTGTGAATTTTCATTACTTCTTGTAAAAGATAGTAGAGTGATCTCTTCAGGGTATTGGTGATCATGGCTCTCCACAGGTTCCTTTTCTTTATTATCTGTGAATTTCCATTACTTCTTGTAAAAGATAGTCGTGTGTTCCCTTCAGGCTATAGGTGATCATGGCTCTCTACTGATTCCCTTTCATTATTATCTGTAAATCATGATAAATTTTTCCCCCAAAATGGGTATGATAAATTTTAAAAATGTGCTAGTATTTGGTTCTGGGAAAATAGGTGGGCTTTGAAATTCTATTATCTTCCACTAGTTTAAAATCATGAAAACAAAAACTGCTTCCTTTGGCTTGGAAGTTCAATTTGACAAAATTATAGATGCGTAGTCGTTTGTCAGGATTCATATTCTCTGCTAAATTAAATTTCATGGATTTATATTTGTGTATTATTGGCCACAAGGAAGAAAGTTTGAAAAATTCTGATTTCGATCACAAGTTCATTACACATTTTTAACACTTCGCCTGTTTTGAAAAGTTTCAACAAATTCCTCGATTTTTTTCCTTATTTCTTTCTATTTCAACACTGACTGCCACCCACCAATAAAGAGTCCAATATAGCCGTCTATTCTGGGGTTAGAAGCGATCGAGTCACACCTTTAGCGAGGGCGTTAGTGTGACAGTGAACACAACAGACTAATCTAGGAATTGAGTCAGATGGAAAGACATCAGATGAAAAGATATCAGATGGAAAGACATCAGAGGAAAAAGGCATCAGATGAAAAGGCATCAGATGAAAAGGCATCAGATGGAAAGAAATCAGATAGAAAGAAATCAGATGAAAAGAAATCAGATGGAACGACATCAAATGAAAAGGCATCAGATGAAAAGGCATCAGATGAAAAGACATCAGATGAAAAGACATTAGATGGAAAGACATCAGATGAAAATACATCAGATGAAAAGACATTAGATGGAACGACATCAAATGAAAAGACATCAGATGGAAACATCAGATGGAAAAACATCAGATGAAAAGAAATCAGATGGAAAGCATCGGATGAGAAACATCTGATTGAATGGCATCAGATGAAAAGACGTCCTCTATATGCGTAAGTTGGCATGGATTCTTTTGGAAAGATAGTGGAGCCGTTTCCCGTTCCTTTCTCTGAGGCTTGGAAGTTCATGGTTGTCTTTTTTGCCACTCAAATACTACAGCGTCCAGTCGACCCTGCTTTTTAACCTATAGCTAGGAGGAAGAGACATCAATACGTTCCTTCTAAACCGAACTTGATCACGTCTATCTATCTATCCGTGTCTGTTCGTATCTATCGGTGTCTGTTCGTATCTATCTATCTATCTATCTATCTATCTATCTATCTATCTATCTATCCGTGTCTGTTCGTATCTATCGTTGTCTGTTCTTATCTATCTATCTATCTATCTATCTATCTATCTATCTATCTATCTATCTATCGCTGTCTGTTCGTATCTATCGATGTCTGTTCATATCTATCTATCTATCTATCTATCTATCTATCTATCTATCTATCTATCTATCTGTTCATACCTATCTCTATATGTTCACATATATGTACAGAAATTGTATTTATTTATTCTCACCCCGTTCTAGACTAAGTTAAATTTAGCAAATGTCTATTTGGTTAAATAACTTTTGACATCATCGCTGCCCGTATAAATTAATCTTGTTGCCGCAAGTCACCTCTTGTCAATTTAAGAAAACTGCGAGTGAGACAGGAACTGAGTGTAAAACTTTGTGTACCTGTACATTTAACGAAGAACACTCCTTACCTTACCAACAGCTGAAATATTACGAAATTAACCTTACAATCGGTAAAGAAATGAAGAAAGAAATTGGTGCTGAATTATAAAAAATAGGAATAAAAAAGAAACTGTTTCCTGTTATACTGTGCACACCTGTTTAAAATCGACACCGATTTTGGGATTTTTCCACGCACGCATGCGCGAACCCTAGCAAAAGCATCTAAAAATATTTATTTTTTAATGTCTTTTTTTTTCCTGTAGCTACACACTCCTAATGGCTGCGAACGAAAAAGAAAAAAAATAAAGAAAGAAAAAACAGAATACAAGGAAATGAAGCGTGTAAATTCTTATGAAAAAAATATTTAAAGGATTGGCCAAGAACTCGGAGCAATTACAACAGCAGCAGCAGCAAGAACAACAACAACAACAACGGCATCAACAGTTGCATAACGTGTGATGCCATATTAACAGCATGGCGCCTACTTTTCTCCCTTTCATCCATCAAGCTTTATGGCATTATAACCGGGGAGGCAGCCTGAAATTCATCCTGCCACCATCCATTTCGTTTTCCCTTAATTGTATTTGTTTACTCGTCTTTTTATACAGATTGAGATTTTCTTTCTTTCTTTCTTTCTTTCTTTCTTTCTTTCTTTCTTTCTTTCTTTCTTTCTTTTGTTTTCAGTCAAATCTCCCTCTTTTCTGTCTGTCTCTCTCTCTCTATATATATATATATATATATATATATATATATATATATATATATATATATATTAAGAAAAACTCTCCCTCTTCACGAACCTTTCTTTAGTTAATAACATGATCGTTTTTCCTTCTTTCTTTCTGACTTTCTTTCTTTCTTTCTCTTTCACTTTTTGTGAGGTCACTAAGCTCTACCTGTCTATGTAACATTATTTTAATTTAATATCTATCTATCTATCTATCTATCTATCTATATATATATATATATATATATATATATATATATATATATATATATATATATATATATATATATGTTCATGTATATCTCTATCTGTTCATTATCTATCTATCTATCTATCTATCTATATATATATATATATATATATATATATATGTTCATGTATATCTCTATCTGTTCATTATCTATCTATCTATCTATCTATCTATCTATCTATCTATCTATCTATATCTCACTGTCTCTTCATATATATCTATTTATCGTTTGTTCATATCGATCTATCTATCTGTCCGTCTATCTATCTATCTATCTATCTATGGCCTTCTTTGTTTCCTATCGTGAAACTTTTTCTTTCAGTTTCCTTTCTTTTATTCGTGTTTCTTTTCATTTACGTTTTTTCTTTCTTTCATTTATTATTCTCTCTTTCTATCTTCCTTTTTTCATTCATCTACTTCTTTCTTTTTTGTTTTTCTTTCTTTTATTCATTTTTCTTCCTTTTCTGTTTATTTCAACGCTTTCTTTCATGCTTCCATTTGTTTGTTTGTTTGTTTGTTTGTTTGTTTGTTTGTTTCTTTCTTTCTTTCTAATTCAATGCTTGAGCCTTTCTACACTTCAATAACCCTAGAATCAAATTTCTTTAACTAAACAGCCCAGAATATTTCCCTGAAACTCGCACCGAATAAACTCGTACTCAGAGAGGATAATTGAGAAACGATTTGTCGGTTTGAAGGTACGGGTGTCTGTACGGGAAATAATGAACCCTTCCATTTGAAGTTTATTTTCTTTTACTTATATATTTTTTTATAACAATATCGACTGCGCCTGAACGGTGTGCAAATACGCAATCTATCTTCTCCTTATATGCATCAGTTCACTGTATGCACACGCAAATGCATACATATGCATGCATATAAACGCATTTTATGAAGAGTCCCAAGAATGAAGATGCCTGTAGAATCTATCTCTTGTTATAGGTGAGTGGTATATTTTTACATAATGGTTCCGTCATTTTTTTCTCTTGTCTGTCATTCCTGTATTTGAATTCGTGATATTCCCAAGGCAGTGGAAGAACATGTAGCCTCAGACAGAATTTGATCTCGCAGTGTCTACGTGAAAGTATATACGCAAGAAACGAAATATATTTCCATGTACATGGTTAAAGTTATATATTTCGAAGAAAAAATGCCCATATATAGGGTGTTCCAATAACTTGTTTGATTGCTAATCTTTCCAGGGTTGAAATTGCCAAAGACTACCTTATTAAATCTGAAAAAAAGAAAAATAAAAGAAGAAAAATCATTAGACACTTAGACTTAATTCACATTTAAAAGTTATTCGAACAGCCTATACATTTCTATCAATTATAAGCAATAACACACAGACAGTTTTTCCCTGGACACCGCTATTATTTTAACGATCTTCACTCCTCGGCAATGTTTATTTTAAAAAGCGATGATTAGGATTGTAACAAAACATGCATTTTTAAATATTTGTCAACAAAAATAATAAACGCTATTTACTCATTACATTGTTTATTCACAGTATTTATTTGTTATATTGTTTATTGGAACGGTTGGTAAACATCGGCCAAACTAAACTTTATAAAATGGTAAATAACACAGATTCAATGGTAAAACTGTCCTTTTGACTTTTTTTCGGGCACATAGGTCCAAGTTTTATATTAATTATATATATATATATATATATATATATATATATAAAGTGAACAAAGAAGTCAACACTTAGAGGCGACAGTCAGTTTCATGCTATATGCAATCATCAGGCCTGAGGATTGCATATAGCATGAAACAGGCTGTCGCCTTTTAAGTGTTGACTTCTATGTTCACTTTTATATTTACACACGCTCTATCTCTGATATTGAGCACTTTATCCCATAAATATAGCACATCTTATGACTATATTTCTTTATATATATATATATATATATGTTCACTTTCTGTCTATCTGTCTCTCTGTCTATATCTTATTGTTCATTGTCTGTCTCAGTTCACTTTCTTTCTTTCTATTTCAGTATGTTCATATCTATCTATCTATCTATCTATCTATCTATCTATCTATCTTCATTCTTCGCCAAGGTTTATTATTTTAAAAAGCCATGATTACCATTCTAACAAAAGTTAAGCATATGAAAGTGAATTTATACATTTTCTTTGTTCTTTAGAATTAAACAAAACAAAAACGAACGACACTATTTATTTTCTTAAATTCTTTATGGGAATGGTTGGCAAAACATCAGCTAATTGCCAGTTGATTCGAACTTAATAAAATGGTAAATAATAAGGATCTCCTTATAGTTGGTTCACATATTTTAATAATTTAGTAAATCTTTATAAAATTATAAATAAATATCGATTTCATATTTTTTCTCTCCATAAAATTGTAAATAATAAATATTGCTTTGCATTCGTTTGCATCTTTCTGTTCATTATCTATCTGTTCACTTTCTTTCTTTCTTTCTTTCTTTCTTTCTTTCTTTCTTTCTCAGTACGTTAATATCTATCTATCTATCTATCTATCTATCTATCTTCACACTTCGCCCAGATTTATTGCTTTAAAAAGCGATGATTGCAATTCTAATAAAAGCGAAACATATGAATTTTTTGTTCTTGAGAATTGAAAAACAAAAATAACAAACATTATTTATTTATTAGATTGTTTATTGAAATGACTGACAAAACATCGTGTAATTGCCAATTGATTCGAACTTTATAAAATGGTAAATATTAAGGATTTCCTTATAGTTTGTTCACATATTTTAATAATTTAGTAAATCTTTATAAAATTATGAATGAAAATCGTATTCATATTTTTTCTCCATAAAACGGTACATGATAAATATTGCATCGCATTCGTTTTCATCTGCCTATCTATTCATTATCTATCATACAGTTCATTATCTATCGGTTCACTTTCTATCTGTCTATCTTACTGTTCATTATCTATCTATCTGTTCACTCTTTCTTTCTTTCTTTCTTTCTTTCTTTCTTTCTCAGTACATTAATATCTATCTATCTATCTATCTATCTATCTATCTATCTATCTATCTATCTATCACACTTCGTCAAGTTTCATTGATTTAAAAAGCGATGATAGCAATTCTAATAAAAGCTAAACATATGAAAGTGAATTTATATACATTTTCTTTGTTTTTGAGAACTAAAAAACAAAAAGAATGACACTATTTATTAAATTGTCTATTGGAATGGTTGGCAAATCATCGGATAATTGCCAGTGGATTCGAACTTAATAAAATGGTAAATAATAAGGATCTCCTTATAGTTGGTTCACAAGTTTTAATAATTTAGTAAGTGTTTATAAATTTATGAATAAAAATAGTTATCCATTTTTATTTCTTTACAAATTGGTAAATGATAAATATCGCATTGCATTATTTTTAATTACATTAGTTTTTAGAATGTTGTAAATATAAATTTATTCATCCGAATAAACAATCTAATATATAAGTGTTTAATATTTTGGTATATTCTCAAGAAGAAAAATAAATGTATGAATTCACTTTCATCGTATGTTTAGATATTATTACAATTCTAATCATCATTTTTTTAATTCTTAAAGCAATAAATATTTCTGAGGTGGTGAAGATGGTTAATATAAAAGCGGTTTTAATGGAATAACCGCCCTTTTGACTTTTTCAGGTACGAACATCCAATTTTACAATGTTACCCAATTATCTATTGGACCATGCCTGCCCATTTCAACGCTGAAGGTGGTGGCTTTCTTTTATAAAGTAGTGGCTGTTACCACACACACACACACACACACACACACACACATATATATATATATATATATATATATATATATATATATATATATATATATATATACCGGGTATTACAGTGAAATTGACCAATTGTTAGATTAAGCTTAGAATCTATATATCTTAGAAATGATTAAAGATATCTTACTGGAATTCTCTGAGGTTTCCTCCTTTGTGAAATGCCGCATCGATGCTTTCATTCTAGCAAGAAAATACCAAGTTAAACCACGTTCATCTCTTAGGTTCGCACCTGCATGCTCGGCCACTCTTGAACTCTAATTTGAGCAGGAAGAATGTATAGTTACTCGCCAAGCTTAACAGAAGAATCGTGATGACATCGATCATAAAGGAAATTGACATGCACATCATTAATTAATCATAGTTATGAATCAGAAACTCTTGAAGGATTGAAATAATTTCAAATATATATATATATTTCTAGCATCATTTTCTAACTAAATCGAGATGATCTTCGCCCTCTCTAACCATCTAACTTTCTGTCCTGGAGTAACAAGGTGCATCACAGGTTTTACGTACGATTTCCTTTTCATTTTTCATTGCTTTTTGGAGTGTCATAATTTAAACTCGTCTCTCACGTGCCGAACGTCTTATGAATTGAGTTGGATCTTTTCTAATTGATCTTTTTAGATCTAAGTTGAAATGATGACCCCCATCTTCCTGTCGTGACCTCCTGATCCAGTTTTCCTCTCTACTGTTCCCTCTTTTTTTAAACTTATTCGTCGTTCTCTTGATGGTTCATGAATAGACTTTGATGACGGAAGCCAAAGTATAAATGTCGGTATAATAGAATGATCTTTTTTCTCTCACCATTGCTCAGTTGAGAAGACAGTGGACCTGGCACGAAACAAATTTAACCTTTTCCCTTTCTATCTGAATAACTCAAAGGGTTTTTGAGCGATTCTCACGACAAATAGTGTCAAAACGACTAAAACTCTTATTTGAGTATCTGGAAAAAATGTCAACAAGTGGGGGTATTTTATGGGATGAAAAATTATGCTGTTACATGGTATATATATATATATATATATATATATATATATATATATATATATATATATATAATAAATTAATTGATTTAAAATATGGTTTTTTCGCTACACATTTCTAACCATGTTTCAAATATGGAAGCTAAAAGCCCCGAATTTAATTTTGTGATTAAATTAAAGACATTAGTTCCATTTCATCCTCAAGCGAATTTTGGAGTAACTTTTTAAAATTACTGTGTTTTAAATACACAGCTAAAACAAAATTCATGTTTCCAAGGTTACAGATAAATCTATTTTTCTAGACAGGGGTGGCTGGGTTTTCAATATGTCTATAATTTAATGTATCAGTTATTGCTACGTTTGGGTCGTGGGAAGGGATGTATTTTTCAATGAAATCTAACTTCCGTTAAAAGCCTGTCGTCTAGATTTTTTAAAATTATATTGTTAACGGCTAAAATTCTTACGGCATTTTTTTTTTCTTTCGTATATTTAAAATTATATATATATATATATATATATATATATATATATATATATATATATATATATTATAAATTAATTGATTTAAAATATGTTTTTTTTACACAGTTCCAACCATGTTTCAAAAATAGAAGCTAAAACCCCCAATTTAATTTTGCAATTAAATTAAAGCATTAATTCCATTTCATCTTCAAAAATTCGCTTGAAGATGAAATGGAACTAATGCTTTAATTGATTTGCAAAATTAAATTCAGGGTTTTAGCTTCTATTTTTGAAACATGGTTGGAACTGTGTAGCGAAAAACCATATTTTAAATCAATTAATTTATGATATTAATGCTCTGTAAATTTACATTGAGCACTATTTTGTAAAAATAAAAATATCTATAAGAACACCGGATTTTATATCTTACTGTTCTTTCTTTATATATATATATATATATATATATATATATATATATATATGTGTGTGTGTGTGTGTGTGTGTGTGTGTGTGTGTGTGTGTGTGTGTGTGTATACATTCTAATTATTTTTTTAAAAATACGTATCCATCGCGACACAGAAATTACTGTTTGGAAACCGGAACTTAAATTTTAAATTTAACTTTAAAATTTAAACTTAAATTTCGAGCTCGGTTGCATTCTCAAGCGATGCTGAGAATAACTTACGAAAAAATTGGATTTACTCTATTTTAAAAGTTAAGTTGGTAGTGTTAAGAGAACCCCTCTTTTTTTTTTATTAAGGGGGTGTTGGCTTTTTAACGAATGAAGAAAGCAAGTGTATCAATATCGGTTAATGTTGGGTAGGGGTTTAAAATTTCTGTCTGGCTACACTTGACTTTCAAGCTGTCAAGTTAGTTTTGTCTGGTTTATTATATCTTAATAAAGTTTACATTATAATATATTTGCCATTATTTATTTTCTTTTTTGAAACAACATCGAGATTTTCTTAAAGGGTATTCAAATATGATTAAGTTATGTTTTATATTTATACGTTTTATTTATACATATCTATATTTAATTTACTAACAGACTATATATGGTATTGTAAAATTAATATATTAGATTTCAATTACGCATTTATAAATTATTTAATTCATGATCAAATAATATGGGATTTATTTTTTATAATTAATTATTTTTAACGAGTATACGAGACAATGTCTACAGAAAACTGCTATTTCATTTCTTTGATTTAATAATTTTTTATTTTTCAGAAACATAATAATATAAAACTTTTCAGGTAGGCATAAAGGACATGGGTCATCCAAAGATTTTTTGTTTGTGTTTTATTTGTTTCTCTTAATTGCCATATATATATATATATATATATATATATATATATATATATATATATATATATATATATATATATAATTTCAATTAAAGGTGCAATTATAATTATCATTAACCTCTATATTTGTTTTTTGTATGAATGTTTCATGAATTTATAAATGATAATTGCACCTTTAATTGAAATGAAAATAACTGATCCAACGTGCAATAATAACGGATAATAAGTGTGCCATTATTGTAATTATTGAACAATATAGTTCATGCCACATTGACGGAAAATCTACCTTTAAAAAATTCTATTTTGTACAAAAACGCACAACCTTAAACTTTAAATTCAAACTCAGCGTTGCGACCGCACGTTCCAAAACAATAACACATTTCTCATAGCATTTTTTCGGATTACATCTCTATTTTCGTTGTCCTCTTATTACCGAGAAGTAAAAACAAGAACAAAATCATTAACCTCTATATTTGTTTTTTGTATGAATGATTCATCACCAGTAGACCGGAACAAGAAAGTTAAATTAATTATCTACTATAACAAATTTAAAACATCTAAACTTATCATCAACAATAACAACACATTTTCAAGATATAAATTACAGAAAAACAATATTATTTATTAATTCTCATGACTCTTAAATCCATGAATAATTATATTGGAACCAAATCCATGAATAATTATATTGGACAAACCACTACATGCTTATCAAGAAAACTCATGTTATACCTCTCTGACCATAGCTCTATTAGGACTCGTTTACATTCAACGGAAATCTATCAAACGGCGTCCGCAAAACAACTGTAGAAAATACAAGTATAATAGCCTCAACCACATGGAAAAACAGACTGACAATAATGGAAGCACTAATGATAAAACAGAAAAAGCCAACACTCAATAACATCAAATATGAACACGGCTAAAATGTGCTGACCGTGTTTGGAATATATAAAACATTCCCTTCATTCTAGAAACATATATAAAAAAAAACTACAGATTCAGTTAAAAGAAAAAACAAAAACAAAACAAAACATACTTGATAATGGCTAATAGAATAGCCGAAAGCACTCAGATAAATTGAACATTTAGACTATTTTTGCACATTGATTTTCAGAAAAGAAAGCACTCATATGAACATTAATGAAACTTATATATATATATATATATATGTGTGTGTGTGTGTGTGTGTGTATATATATATATATATATATATATATATATATATATATATATATATATATATATATATGCACATTTCATTAAATACGACAGACAAAGGTACTTTTATTTATTTTTTTATACAATTTCTCATGCGATCTAATAACTTTTTTTTTTTTTCGGATGATAAATTATATAAAAACTGTCCGAATCTTCTTTTTATCGGAGCGCTTTCGGCTATACATTTAGCCATTTTCAAGGATGAAATATTTTAACTGTTAAATAAAAAATAATAATTCACCTCGTAGAACAAAATTAAATAGAGCAAATATTATTTACGAATTTAAATGCCCA